AGCATCACTATGTTGTACTTAGAGTTTTGGAGCAAAGCCTTGCTCTCTTTGCCTAACTATCCCCCTTTTTAGAAACTGCTCCTAAATTACTTATGGGCCCTGGCAAAGACCAAGAGCCTGACCGTGCAGTACCAGGTGACCATGTAAACTATGCAGCTTGTCATGAAATGAGTATCAGTCCCACTTAGCCATACCATGCTCGGTAGCTCTCCTTTTCCCAAGAGGACATGGAATAGAAGAGCAGGCCTAAACAGGTCCTGGAGAAGGCACAGGAGAGCAACTCCCAGTACAGGCAGACCTCGGAGATGACCACAATAAATCGAATGTTGCAATAAAGTGAATCACGTGAATTTTTTGATTTCCCAGTGCATAAAAATTTGTTTACACTATATTGTAGTCTACTAAGTGTGCAGTATGTCTGAAAAAACAACGTACCTAGCTTGGTTAAAAAATAATGCCTCTGGAAAAATGGCACCAATATACTTGCTTGACGCAGTGTTGCCACGAATCTTCAACTTGTAAAAAGTGCAGTATTTGCGAAGTGCAGTAGAGAGATGCACCATAAAACGAGATCCGCCTGCATGTTTATTCCCGTTTTACCGCCACTGCCCTCTCACTTCACGTCCATGAAGTGACTCCCATAGGTGACTAAGGAAGACATTTGAGCTTGGTTTAATAGATGGTGTCAGCTGGGAGTGGTCTGCTAAGATGTTAGAGCTGCACTTGGAAGTGGTCTTGAAGGTGGTCTTGGAAGTGGCGAAAGGAAACCTTTGGAGTGGGCAGAACTTTGGGTTGCACTCTTGTGGTTCTCTTTGCTTTGAGAAGGACTCTACCCCAATTCATGGGCCAAGTGGGCAGGGACTGAGACTGGGGACAAGGAGGCTCGGGAGAGAGGATGTAGCTGATAAAGATGTAGGTGGACCTCTCAGAATAGACCTAGAAAGTGTGAGTATTTCTAGCCTAAAGGAATAGTTATCAAAATGTCCCCACTGCTAAAGAAGTGTTAATAAATTTGTGGAAAAGAAGACTCGTCAGGTGGATGAGAACCCTTCCCTAGTCAAGCCATTGCCTGTTTACTGGGGTCATGAGCTTACTGCGGGCTTCTCCTCGGCAAGGCTGATCTGTCGCTTCTGCTGAAGGAATCATTATAATGTATCATTTCTATCATGGGGAGTAGAGTGGTTAGCCTCACTGGGAAGAGGTTTTTACTGAATTTGGATTTCCCTTGCCCACCAGCCATGCTTTTACCAACCTCATCCTAAATGGGCTTACTTACCTTCTCTACCGTTATGGTATCTGTCTTAGTTCTGGCTGCTACCACAAATTACTATAGCCCTTGTAGCTTATAAACAAGGGAAATTTATTTCTCACAGTCTGGAAGCTAGAAGTCTGAGATCAGGATGCCAGCGTGGCTGGGTTCTGGTGACAGCCCTCTTCCAGGCTGCAGACTTCCCGACTTCTCCTTATATCCCCACATAGAGGAAAGCAGAGGAGGGAAGCAGACTCTCCCATGATCTTATAAGAGCACTAATCCCATTCATGAGGGCTCCACCTTCGTGATCTCATCTAATCCTAATTACCTCTCAAAAGCCCCATCTCCTAATACCATCACATTGCGGGGAGGATTTCATCATACGAATTTTGTGGGGACCCAAACATTTAGTCCATAACAGCATCTAACCAAGGAACTAAATTTACAGTGAACTAAGTAAAGAAACTAGGGTCCTATCAGATTCACTAGCCTTATTACGGACCCCAACAACCAGAAGCAGCTGGCTTTACAGAATAGCGGAATGACCGATGAAATACACAGCTACTGAGCCAGCTGGAAGACAAGCTCTTGAGAGCTTGGATTCCATTTACAGTGGTCCCTGGATATCCCTGGGGAATTGGTTCCAAGATCACCTCCCCCTCCACCCTCAGATAACAAAATCCAAGCATGCTCCAGTCCCTTGTGTAAAATGGCATAGTATTTGTATATAACCTATGTCCTTTGTTTGTTTTGGGGGGGAAGGTAATGAGGTTTATTATTTAATTTTTTTAATGGAGGTACTGGATGGAGATGGAACCGAGGACCTTGTGCGTGCTAAGCATGCACTCTACCACTTGAGCTATACCCTTCCCCTTCCTCCTGTACACTTTAAATTATCTTCAGATTACTTATAATACCTAATGAGAACCTATTTTAAAATAAGTTTCCTCCACTATTACATTGTAAACTCTGAAGGCAGTCACCATTTATTTTTTTGTTTTGTTTTTCAGGGGAGATAATTAGGTATATATATATATTATTTTTTTTTTTAATGGAGGTACTGGGGATTGAAACCAGGACCTCATGTATTCTAAGCATGCACTCTCTACCACTAAACTATACCCTCCACCCTGGCTGCCACTGTTCTTAAATATCTTTGTATTTAAGTACATAGCACTGTTTATATAGTGCAGGATACAAGTTGCAAACTTGTAGACTCTGCGCTGTATCTGAACTGCATTTATTTTCATCACTCCGAAGTGTTGTTTAAAAATTGACAGTTGCCAGGAGGGAGGATAATAGCTCATTCATAGGGTGCATACGTTAGCACACACGAGGTCCTGGGTTCAATCCCCAGTACTTCCATTTTTTAAAAAAAGGGGGGAAAAAAACCCCTGTCAGTTACCAATATTTAAAAATCAAGAGATTTCAAGTGAAATACACATTTCCACCTTCTCTTGAAAAATTTGAAGATCTGGCCATTTTAGGCCCCCATTCCGAAAGCTGCCCTCTTTTTACAAAACACAGGCGCTAGCTAGCATTTGCCAAAGTTCCTCACCTTGTCCATTTGATTTACTTTCATTTCTTGCCTGGCTCCTGAAGGCACATAAGTTTGCTACCCTTGCTGCTCAATGGAACTATATTGAATAATGAATTTGGTAATTAATGCTTGTATTTTCATTTTCATTTCACATATGTGGTCTATCCTTCTAAACAGACTGTAATAAGCCACTTGGTGGTCAGAGTCCTGTTAACTATTTCTGTTGAAATCACCAGTTTTTGGTGGTTTCAATACCTATTAATATGCTTATAAAACCTTGCTCTGAGCCTCAGAACTGGCTTGACCACCGCGAGTTGTCTCCCTGCTTTGGTCTGGGGAAGCCTAAAATTTCATCGTCATGATTCGTTCCCCGGGCTAAGCCGAGACTTGGTTACTTGTCAGGTAAAGATATTAAAATGACTTCCCGATAACACAAACGTACAACAGATTTAAGTAGGGTTTAGGCGGGAAGTTACCCTTTCTACAGCAAATATGAAATTGGAAAGTTCTTCCTGAGGTGGTCGAGTTTCTAACTGGGACACCGGGAAAGGTGGAGGAGACTGGAATATAGTTGCATTCTGGAGTTTATACAAGGGTTTTTGGGTGGGGATTTCATCCGAAGAGTATCAGAATGACTCTCCCTCGGGGTCTGGCAGCCTAGGGCGTGGCTTCTGGCACAGCCCCCGAGCAGTTGTCATTGGGATCAATTTCAGGACTCTCTAGAACCAAGCCTTCGGAGTTTCACATTTCTAGGGGCTCCTCTCCCCGCCCCCAGGTAATTTCCCTCGGTTGCGGACGCTGCCCTGCCGCCTGGGTCGCTTAAGTCTCCCCTCTTCGCGATACCCTTTCTGGCTTTCAGCATCAGTTTCCCTAAAGGGGCAGGAGGGGGATGAATTTGGGGGCTTCTCCGCCCTCATTTTTGAGCCGGGGAAGGTGGACGCCGGAAGGAGGCCCTGTGAGTTTCAG